TTCCATAGGATAAGCACTGGACTGGAAACCACAAGGTTGGTGGTTCGAGCCCACCAGCAGCTCCTCAGGAGAACAATGGAGCTGTCTGCTTCCACAAAAGATTGAAAGCCTCAGAAACCCTATACAGAGTCACTGTGAGTTCAAACCTACTCCAGGACACTTACTGCCACCATCATTACCACCAACACACGGGATTAAATCAGTAACAGAGTTAGTGAGTTTGTGTTCCCCAGGGAGGAGCGACTTGGAAAGGGGGTGAGAATGGCTGTAGGACCTGATGCATGTCATCAGTGGCAGTGACTTGTGCACAAGCTACTGAGGTGCTCTTTGTTCTGCTGTATATGTTTTCAACAACAACAGCTTTGGTTTTTTATAAAGTCAGCTTCTGGGAGCCCAAGTCAAGAGAAAAATGATTAAATAAATAAACCTACAAAGGAGAACTAGTCTGGCCCGTGGATAGGACATGTGTGGTGCTGAGGCAGAATGCACCGGGAACGGTAAGGGCAGTTTGAAACAGAAGGTCGGTGGTTGAAACTCACCAACTGCTCTTTGGAAACCCTATACAGTGTCGCTGTGAGTCAGAACTGACAGCATTTAACAAAAACAACAACAACAATACATTAAATGGCCATAAGGGCTAGGCCGGCAAAAGACATCAGTCTGATCAGATGCGTAATAGGGAATGGTGGGAATGGTGGGACCAAGTCCTGGTTGATTCCCCTGCCTTTTACATGCGTTCACATTATAACAAATTAAAATATAAATAAAACACATGTCAAAGAAAACATTCCATTGGTTACTTTGCGGTCAGTTACTTTACTAGAGCTACAAACTTAGTAAATTAGCTGTTGTTGCTGTGAAGTGCTGTTGAGTGGTTTCCAAGGAGCAGATGGTGACTTTGAACTACTACTAAGCCTGAGTTTCACACTGACCTTGTGATCCACTGCATTATCCCACAGCGCCACACCGGTAGGTAAATCCGCTTTATATCAAGTTTGTCTTCTTTCCTTGCGTTAACAACTTGGAAGGTGTTTATTTTTTATTTTAAAAACTTAAAAGGACTAAAACCCAATATCAAAACCCAAAGTTACATATATGAGATCCTGAAAATTTACAAGTACCTTCAAGATTGTTTCAACAGATTTTTTAAAACTTAAGTACTTTTAATGCTTATTAGAAAATAATATTATCACTCTATACACATTGTTCTCAAGCTAACTCGAGGTACAATTGCTCTCAAAGTTTTTAGTGGTTTTGCACTAACTGCACCCCTCAGATTTTTATCAACATAAATTTTAGAGGTACACGTTAATAACTTGTGGAAGCTATGTTTTCAAAAATTAATAGCAGAAATGTTACTGAAGACACACTTGAGAAACCTATGAAATGTCAGTCATGTTAAGTGCTCCTGTGGCTTTTACTTTTTTTCAATATGTTCTTTCTGATATGGATTTTAGCCAGCAAAGCATGCTCGGTAGGGGTTATACAACATGACACTTACTGTAAGTCTACTATTAATCATATTTTACAATCAACAAGCATGAGTCACAGCAAATATATTTATACTTTTACAAGTAATCATGTCTCTGTATTGTTTATCCATGAGTGAGGTGCCTCCAAATGCCTAAACCACATCCGAGATAAAAATTAAATGTCTTTCAAAGTCACATTGAATCTAATGGGCTTCAAAGATACTATTTCTTTCTCAAACAATCAGCCACTGATGTTCATTTAAATAAGTTTTCTGTCCGTGTGCACCTGCATCCTTACTTACACTGGTTCTCTGGAACATTCCATCCATCCTCGTGGTTTGAGGAACCTTCATAAAGAAGATTCCCAAATCTACAACTGAACCCAAATCATTCCCTGAGCCGTAGCACCACATAGCGTACTGCACAAATGCACTCAGGTATCACAAGGTGACGAAAATCCAGAGTGTCGACGACTGTAATCACAGACACTCTCAGTCACAGTACCTCTTTAGCTCCTCCTCGTCGGTTCGCTATTTTGGTAAGCAGTGCCAACAGGGTCTATGAGTCCCATTTTTCAATGTCCTTGTTTTCCCAGGGCCTAGGAGCTCTGGTAGGAGTCTGGGTGTGGTGCTATGGGATAAGCACGAGACTATAAGGTCGGTTTGAACCACAAGGTTGGCGACTCAAACTTATTGGCTGTTCCTTGGAAACCTGCTGCACGGTGGCTATGAGTTGGAACCAAATGGACAGCATTTAACAACAGGAACTCTGACAGCATCGTGGATTGTGAGCTGGGCCGCTAACTGCAAAGTCAGCTGTTCAAATCTACCAACTGCTCCTCAGGAAAATGATGGGGCTTTCTGCTTCTACTAAGATTTACAGTCTCAGGAACCCTATACAGGGTCACTACAAGTTGGAACCAACTCCACGGCACAAAGCCACCAGCAGAGTCCCAGGTACCCTGTGAGGGTTTGCTGAGTGAATAGAGATTTAAAAGCTCTCACAGAACGGTACTTAAAAGAGAAAAAACTGAATTTGAAAATAGCTTTCCTTTTAATATAATTTGACTTCCACTGATAAACTAAGTTAAAAACATAATGAGACTATAACCACTTAATGACCCCGACTACATGCATGCTCATCTTCCTTCTGTAGATAACTCATTGAAAGCCCGAGCGTTTCAGACACTGGCAAAACATGGCTAAGTCGTTTAAGAGCTATAAATAACTTAATATTTCTCATATTATTGAGGGGTGTGTGTCCTATAATGTACATAATGCTATTATTACCTTCTCAAGAACTCTCAGCCAGGTGGACTTCCTGAGCATTCAAGCACTGTGTGATCTACTGATTGGGGGCCCACTTCTGACTTATTCTTCCGCCACACCTGAGAAATCTCTTTAAAGCTGGCGTCTTAGATGTGCCGTTTCCCTTACGCATTTGTATGGCAAGTGTTTCTTGAGCACCAGTATGCATGTCAAGCGGTTTTCTGCTTGCTGCTGGCAAGAGAACAGTGAGCAAAATGGGCAGAATCCCTACTGTGGTGCAGACTGGTATCGAGCAAAGGTAACTAACTACAACTATGAGAGGTCCAGATGTGTAAAGTCATCTGGAGGAGACAGAGGGTTATTATCAAGCACCTTCTGGAACCTGCTGTAGAGAAGTGTACCTGGAACACAACGATGGTGTGGGAGAGCGGCTCAGGAAGCCTCTTAGGAAATGTCAAGACAATGACTGCTGCCATCAGCAGCCTCGCACTCGGAGGTGGAGCCAAGTGCTACAGGAATCTTCCAGTAAGTTGTTTATTTTTATTTTTTTAAACAAAACTTTATCTTTTCACCAATCTTACAAATAAAAATTAGTTGCTCTAATTACGGTTTATGATTTCCGGTGTGGCACTGAAGGAAAAGCACTAGACTGTGAACCACAGTCAGCAGTTCAAACCCACCAGCCGCTCCTTGGAAACCTTATACAGAGTTCCTGTAAGTCTGAACCAACTCAACGGTACAAACAACGGTTCTGATGTACTGTTGTAGGATAAGCACTGGGGTGCTAACTGAAAGGTTAGGGGTTCAAACCCACCAGTCGCTCTTTGAAAAAAACTACACAGGGTTACTATGAGTCCGAACTGACTTGAAAGCACTGAACAACAACAACACAACAGTACAATTATGCACTGAATCCTGCCATTTCTGTCCCCACTGTCCCAAATCGTCCTGACTCCTTCTATTACCTTACGTCTTCGGCTGTCTAAGGGAAAGCACTGCCAACCAAATTCAATGGCACTCTGTGTAAGAATCATGGATCCCCAGGCCAACAACACACACACTCACACACACACTCATACACTCATACACACACACTCACACACATTCATACACTCACACACACACACACACACTCACACACGCACTCACACACACACTCACACACACAAACACTCAAACACTCACACACTCACACACACACACAAGTTCTATGAGGATTAAGGTGGCTTGTCTGAACCATAGGAGGCCTTGGTGGCACTGTGGTTTATGCACTGGGCTGTTAACTTCAAGGTCAATGGTTCAACCTCCCAACCATTCCCTGGGATAAAGAAGAGGCTGTCTTCTCCCGTAAAGATTCTAGTCTCAGAAACCCCATATAGGGTCCCTATGAGTCAGAGTTGACTTGAGGGTGGTGAACCCCTGAATCTTGGAGGAGTAAAACAATCCTTCAGAGCAGCTTCTGATTTAACTCTGAGATACAATCAGCCTCCATTGACAGGCCTCAGGCAATGCAAATTGCTGATGTTCCAAACAAACTCTCTTCCTGAACTTAGAGAACAATTTTTCTGTCTCTGAAGACAAAGAGTATCAATTCTAAATTGGCATAATTTTAAGGTCTTTCAGTGACTTATTACATTTTTGCCATTAATATTCATCTCAATTGCCCAATGTTGTTAAGTGCAGTCGAGTTGGTGATAAATCATAGCACCCCTGTATAGGGTTTCGGAGGAGCAGCGGGTGAGTTTGGACAACTGACCTTGCAGTCTAGTGCCTCTCTAACAGCACCACATCACAGTTAAGTCCTGCACACTACTGGTAACAACTAAGTGCTATTGAGTATTATGTCAAGCACTTTCACAAACTCTCACCATCAGTCCTCCAATAAACCTCTCAGCTCGGGCTTGTCATCATCCCCATTGTACAGATGAGGAAACTGACGTTCAGACTGATGAAATCGCAGATGTGCTGGGAGCAGTACTAGCAGGACTGAAACACAGCATAACAGAGTATGTACCCACACACATGTGCATACATGCACCTGAAATGTACACACACATGATACTATGCCTCTTTGGACTGATGAGTACACACCCTCAAACACCAAGGAAATATTTTTCTTCATCATAAACAACTGAAGGGAAAATTTTAAAACAGTAAACAATTCTGATTTGTGGTAATCACAAAAACAAGAAGCAAATCAGTGAGTTTCCAACGATTTTTGAAACCAGTTAGACACACTGTCTTCCAGTCACTCATGTACCTGATTTTTCAAAGGCCCCAGGAAGCCTAGATTTTCTGCCATCCGCTGAGCTTGGCTCTCCGTTATCCCTTCAAAAATGTCAATTTTCTCCTAGTTAAAATGAATCAAATAAATGGAATTAGGATAGTCAAGTGAGAAGATTTACAACCTCAAGACAAAAGTACTTAGTATATATTTGCAAATGAGTAATTAAAGCATGGCACCTTTCCAGGGATCTCTGAGCAGGGCTACCGCAGCTGCCTATAGGGTGTGTTTTAATTAGCAGACCAACGATGAAACAGCCCTTCCCAAAATTATATAATTCTTTGGGGTGGCATGCTGACAAGACAATCCGATGCCAGTTTCCACTTTTAATTACTATACAGATGGCTTTGACGAATATTTAGTCAGTTAATTTTTATGACATCTTTTGGAAGACTTCCAACATAAGGTTTGCCTGTCTAATATCGCTGTTAACTTAGAGCCTGCCTTACAGAGGTTAAATATTACCTTATGATTTACATAGCCTTATTAATGATGATAATTATTAATAATAACTTAGCTCTACAAAGTGCCGTTCTCCCCAAAAGGTAATTTCGCAATACCAATCACAATAAAGAGTTTTAAAACAAAGGAATCTTGTTACCTAGTTAGGATTGAACTCAGATCCCATTGTCCAGAAATGAATCTTCCTACCATATATATTACTTTATGACTTCTTCTAACAAGTGGAATCATTTGTTTTAAATGGTGTTGATTTTGAAAATGACCAGGTATGAGGGATAAAGGAACATGTGAAGTCTTAGTTTAACTACTCAGGTAGCTAAATTAAATAAGTAAAATTAGTGAATATATTTCCTCTTTCTGACGGAGAAAGAAACCCAAACAATTCATTCTAGAAGCAATATTTCTGCTACAATTTTGTATGTTTTTGTTTCTTTATTTAAACAAGCAATCAAACGCTAAGAACCCACAATTAAAACCTAGAATTATAGTGCTAAGAACCGGAGTGTTCTTCTTACAGAATATCCTGAGGTAGATTAAGAAACACTTTCGATACATCATTTCATTTAATCCTCACAATTCTACAAGGTGAAGATTCCCTTCATTTCCATTTTACTTTGATTAAAATGACGATGAGAGACATTATGGCATTCATGGGAGGATTACAATCAATGACACGAAACAAAATACGCTGAATGGAAACAAGATCTGCTCTTCAACCAATCATAATAAAAAGTGTTTTTTTTAAAAGAAGAGTCAGGATTGAACTCAGATCCCTTTGTTATTCATTAATCTTAACATCAATGAAAGGAGTAAGATTTCAACACCTACAACAAATTGATCGAATCTCGACATTAGAAGATCCTATTTTACATCACTAGGAGTCCCTGGTTGGTGACAACACTGACGCACTTGACTACCAACCCAAAGGATGGCACTTTTAATTCACCAGTGTTATTGTTGTCGAGTGCCGTCAAGTCGAATCCGACCCACAGCGATCCTGTATAAGGTTTCTGAGGAGAGGCAGGTGGGCTTGAACCACTGAATTTGTGGTTCAAACTGACTTGGCAGTCCAGCACATTAGCCCACAGCATCAAACCAAGACTCAACCCCCCCACAGGTACCTTATAAAAGAGGCCCTGTGATCTACTTCTTAAGGTCACAGCCTTGAAAAGCCCATGGAGCCGCCATACTCTGCAAGGTTAAGGGTCGACATGAGTTGGAATCTACTCAATGTCACGTCATTAACACTGAGAGACACCCATTCATTCTCTGGTTCACGAGTCTCCCAGGAGAGAATATACGGATTTGTGTGCTATCACTGGGACAGAGTAAACCAAGGAAAAATGGAAATATCAGGGTTATCTCCCACTGCTTAATTCTTAGAGCAAGTCAAACAGAAAGGAACAAGGAAGCAAGAGGTAGGAAGGAGGAAAGAGGAAGGGAGGGAAAAATGAAGGGGAAAAAACCCAAAAGCCTTACACAGTGAAAACCTTGGTTCTCCCCAACCTTCAGGAGATCCCTGGTGGCACAATGGTTAAAGCATTGTGCTAATAACTAGAAGGTCAGCAGTTTGAACCCACAAGTGACCTTGCAGAAGAAAAACAGACTTGGCAATCTGATTCCAAAAGATTATACCCTATATATTTTTTTACCCAGAGAAAATCTTTAAACCTTAAGTCAAAAATATGCCCCAAGAAGTTATTGTAACACCAAAAAAATTTTTAGCTTAACTAGGAAAAAAAAAAGATCTGTCTGAGTAGTCTGCTTTTTAAAAACCCTTGCTGTTGTGAAGTGCCATCGAGTTGGTTCCAACTTACAGCAAACAAAAGAATAAAATACTTTCAAGAACTATATGGGATCAAATTGACACTACAAACTTACAAAATAAGCTAGGAACCTTAGAGGGCAGGGAGTTGTCAGCATGTGGGAAGGAACAATTCTGACAAAGTGGGTGACTACAGTTGCACACCTCAAAAAATGAGTCAATGCCATTACACGGTACACATGAAACTGCTGGATTGGTGTCTATGTTAGTATGAGAGGGCTGCAAAAGTTCAAGGAGAAAGTCCATGATCTTTCCATTCCACTGTACCATGTACTTTTCAAAGCCTACTCATATTCTCAGTAGCAACATGATAAACATCATCTAGAAGGGAAAACAACAGCAAAAAAAGACTCCAGCCTAGGAAATCCTATGCTACATTTCTGTTCTGTTTTATAGGGTCACTAGAGTCAAAATCCACTAGACAGCCTATAGTAACACCACCCACCCTTCAATTGTACAGCTAGTATGGGAAAAGCCTCAACAGTGTCCTATATTAAATCCCAGAAACAGATTTACTGATGCCAGTCTCAGACTGCATATTAAATATTTAACAGCTTCTACACTAACAACCAGTTAACACAGGGCAGGTCATCATTTAAACATACCTTGAAAATGAGTTCTGGAGAAGAAGCGGCCACCTCTTCGATGTCAACACCCCCTTGGGGACTGCCCACCAGAACGGGGCCATTGCAGGAGCGATCCATGAGAATGGCCAAGTAGGTTTCTCTGGAAATGTTCAGGGCTTCAGCCACCATCACCTACGGCATGAATGGAAAGTCAAATGAATTCAACATCCAGTTGGTTTCCACCTGGAAATCTATACAAACTTGCCACTCCAATCAGTGTCATTTTCAGACTTTTAAAACCTAGGGAGTGATCTTCCCGAGATGTGAGAGTTCTGCTCTCTGGTCCACAATACCCACTTTCACCTCCTTAATTGATCCTGTTAACTTGTTCAAGTGACAGGTATTTGGTTTGCCTCAAGGAACCTTCCCACTTAGAATCCTTTTTTTTTCTTCTCCTTTCTTCACTTCCTTGAGAAACCCTGTCACTTAAGAAAAACTCTGGGGAAGAAGCTGTTATTTTAATTTAAGATATTAACAGTACATATATATTACTGTACTGATTTACTGATTTTTCTCAGATTTCACTGGAGGAAAATCAAGTTTCACTGCCAAAGAAAGATTCTTTTTACAATATGTCTGATACGTCATCTGTTTATATATGTCTTGTCTCCAGCATCACTATATTTCAGTTCATTTCATTTTATACTCTCTTTTAAATGACAAACATAATATTTGCTTCTTCAAAAAGCACACACATGATATAAAAAGTGTCTGAAGTAAAAAGTAAAAGCTGCTTACTGCTGCACAACCTGCTACACACACACACACACACACATATCCATGTGACACACATGTTGAGTCCTTAGCAAGGTGACATTGGAGGCTTAGTGGTAACAGTCCCACCTTCCAGGTGGGAGGCCCAGGCTCAATTCCCAGCCCAGGCACCACATGTGCGGTGACTATCTGCCTGTCAGCCTGCATCTTGCTATGGTTTGACCAGGCTCCAGCGAAGCACTTACACAAACACAAACTAGGAAGAAGCCCTGGTCATTGGTTTCTGACAACAGGCTAACACAAAATCCTGTGGCACACAACAGTCAAGTTGGGCCTTCGGCCTATCAAGGGGAGGGCACATGACCAGGCAGACATTAGTTCTCCTGTGTGTGCCTTGGGTCTTCATGAGTCAAAATGCCATTCACCCATATGGAACTTTTGTGATAAATAGAAAAAGGTGCCCTTTCTTTTCTGGGACACGAGGACCATGACTGAGCAAGAGCCAGAAGGGATGGATGAAGGTGAGCCCTCCCTCCCAGCCTTGTCAGCTACCCGTTTGCTCTACACAACGTCAGCAACGGAGTGCAACAACCTTCCTAGGGGGAAAGGAAATCAATGCAAATTTTTTAGTCTTTTGCCATCTCATCCGAAAGCATTGCAGTAATGGCAACATTTTGTACATGGAAAAGCATATTAAACATACTAGAGTTCCTTTCTTTTTAGCATTTTTCATTAACACTACAGCATAAACATAATTTCAAGATTTTCTCTCTTCATAGTGTCTGCAAGTACATGCATGTTGGTAGTTACTTATTCATGGAAGACTCCCCTGTTGTTGGTGTTAAGTGCCAGGGAGGTGGCTCTCACTCACACTGGCTCTGTGTAGGGCTTCCAAGGGGTGGCTGGTGGGTTTGAACCACCAACCCTTCAGGTAGCAGTTCAGTGCTCAGCCTACAGTGCCACAGTTGGAGTCATAGAGCCACTCATACTAACTGAAATTTTTGAGGATCATGTTCACCCAGAGGCACCTAAAGGAAAGGCCTAGTGTTCTGGTTCCCTCCAAAACCAGCCATTTAAAAGCCTAGGGGGCAGCGTTCTGTTCTGACACCGGTGGTGGTGATGACTGAGCCGTGCACCTAAACCAAACCCAACCCTATCCCACTATTGTCAAGTGAACTCTGACTCACAGCAACCGTAAAGGACTGAGCAGAACTCCCATCGAGTTTCCAAGGATGAACTCTTTACAGGGCAGCCGTCGCATGACTGCGGAGTAAGTGTTGGACTGCTAACTGTAAAGCTGGAGGTCTGAAGCCACTAGCTGTTAGCTGGGAGAACAATGAGGCAGGCGACTTCACTGCTGTTGTTGTTAAGTGCTGCTGAGTAGGTTCCGACTCAGACCCTGGTAAGCTTCCCAGGAGCAGCTGGTGGATTTCAACTGCCAAACCTTGTGAGGAGCAGTCCAGTGTTTATCCTAGAGTACCATACTAGGGCTTTTGGAAATCCTATGGGATACTTCTCCTCTGCTGTATAAGGGTGAGTCACTATGAGTCCTAAGTGACTTGACAGCAGTGAGCTCATCTTTACAGAAGGAGACGACCACCTCTTTTTGAAGCTGCTGACTGCAATCTGCTGACCTTCAGTTAGCAGCCAAGGGCTTTTACCACTGTGCCACCAAAGCTCACTGTTGTAGTTGTTGTTGTTGTTGCTAGGGGCCCTAGAGAAGCTCTGACTCATAACAAGCACATGCACAATAGAAGGAAACCCCGCCCGCTCCTGTACCACCCTTACAACGGTTGTTACACTGGAGGTGCGGCTGCTGTCACTATGCCTGATCATCTCACTGGGGATGGGGGGATCTTCCTCTTTTTCACGGACCCTCCCCTTTGCCAGGCATGATGTCCTTCTCCTGGACATTTCTGTTAATATGTCTAGAGTATGTGAGACAAAGTCCAGTGTTTATCCTATAGTGCCACACCAGAAGCACTGTACAAACTTATATTTTGTCATTCTGTACAAACTTCTATTTTCAGGCAGAATAGTAAAAGGCATCTTTGAAGATTTTTAAATGAAAATAAGGACACTGCCATAAATAAGCAGTAGTGGAACTGACAATAGTAAGCATTTACATGGCTTCTCCTGAAAGGAGTTCCGCAACAGGTTTAACACAATGCATTACAGAGCATTCGACTTTAGCTACACATATGCCACAAAACACTGTCTGACGTCACATGAAAAGGAATAAATACACGATGATTTTCAAAGATTTAATGCAATGAAAACAGCATTCCCTCTTGGAACATTTTTCAAATTTTTATAGAATGTATCACCAGTTAAAAGGAGCCCTGGAGTCTGCTGAAAGGAGATGGGAATAGGGTTCTTTCGATTCAATAGTGAGTAATTGTTATCATGATTAATTGTGATGGTCACAACTGTAAAGGTGAAAAATGTGTAACATAAGAGGGAGTAGTTAATCTTACATTCCAGGAACAGAGGACCTAGGATCAACAAGGGAGAAGAACATGTGCGGAATGTGGGACCCTATCCAGAGAAGCAGTGATACCAGAGATGGAGGCAGAGATGGGGACAGGGAGAGACAGAGAAGATGAGGCCTCTAGACTCATGGAAAGAGAAAGGCTGTGTGCTGGTGGCCAGGAGGCAGGCTTGCAAAATGTGACCTTTGGTTGTTTAAATGATTATATATTTCTGAGTGTTTTTGTGTACATTAAAAAAACAAAAAAAGAGGGAATAGAAGGAAACACTGGTTAAGTGATGGTGCATGGAGGGGACTGTAATCACTGCAATGAAACAAAATACAATCGGATGAATGCAAATTCAATGTTCTGCCATGTAAACTCATTTCACAATTAAAAAAAAACAAAAGGAGCCCTGGAGACAGAGTGGTTAAACACTTTGATGCTAACTGAAAGGTCAGTGGTTTAAACCCAGCAATTTCTCAGCATAAGAGAGAGATGGCAGTCTGCCTTAGAAACCCTATGGGACGGCTGTACTCTGTCCTATAAAGTTGTAATGAGTCAGGACTGACTTGCTGGCAACATGTGTGGTATTTTGATTATCACTAGTTACAAAGAAAACATCTTGTTAAAGAGGCTTAATTTCAGTCTTTTATCACAAATGGCTAGTAGTTCATGAGAATATAAAATCTATTTCTGGGCATAAGATGTTAGGATCATCAAAAAACTATTCTGATTTCAAGCAGGTTGTTTTTTCCAACAATACAAGTCATTGAAGCTCTTATCAGTGAATACTTAACTCTCCCCAACATTTAGGTTATCTGACACACAGTCAACAGAATATGGCAAAAACACTTACTACTACCCTTTACTCATCAAATTAATTAACTTTAATTTATAGAAATAATAAGAAATTCACCTTTATAAACAACATCAATACAAACATAATCAAGACCATCAGTTTTTCTAAAAACTCCTTAGAAAGTTCTTTTTAAGAAATTTGGTAGATACAAAATGCAATGAACACATTCTGTTTGTGATTTCATGTCTACTGGTATGACTGTGACTAGTCACTTTCTAATATGACGTTAGTCTCGTAGGTAAGACTTAAAGGATCTGGGTCATTTTTCTCAGAAGCAGAGGAGTAGTATAACTTTTTAGGATAAGTGGCATTCAGGAGTCTTATTCTTAATCTTCTAAAATGTTGACAGATGATGTTCTCTGCTTTCCATCAACATTCTATTTTCAAAGACCACATGCTGTCTCAAACCACTCCTGCTTAGTAGAAATAACATATTACTCTTTAAGGAAAAGTCCCCAGGAAGATGAAGATTACCAATAGAAAACTTAAGAAATTTTACTCGAAGACCATTTTTCTTTGTTTTGTGTTTTAAAGTTTTTATTGTGAACTGAGTGATAGTTTACATGGGAGAACATCTGCATTACAACATCGTTTCAATGTAATGATTACAATCTCCTCTGTGCAGCATTGGCTTCCATTACTTCTGTTTATCTTTTCTTTCTT